GGCGCCTTAGCTGATTGAGCCACAGGCGCCGAGCCATATCGTATATTTCTTGTAAATTTCAAGTATACACAGTTTTTGCTTGCCAATTAACAAATAAGTCAGTATCAGTATTTGCTAAAGTGTGTTCCTCAGGATGGCTATTTGTGGGAAAAAGAGAAAAAGATCTTTAGTCAAGTCAGTTTGAGAAATCTGCAAATAGTAGGCTCTTTTTTTTCTTTTTGCAGTTTTTGGCCCGGGCTGGGTTTGAACCCTCCACCTCCGGCATATGGTGCCCTACCGTTTTGAGCCACAGGCTCAGCCCAATAGTAAGGTCTTTTTCATCCTCTTTTGTGCTGCATTAGCAGATAGAAGGCCCCAAGAAACCCTGAGCAGAACTCCTGCGAACTTAGATTTAAAACTAGCGGGTTTCATACTCTTTTGTTTGTTTTGACCTTGGACAACACCCCGGCAATTTGGTCTTCCCTGAAACTTGCGCTGGACCACACTGTAGTTAATACCAGCTTGTGGCCACCAGGGCTGGAGATGAAAGGAAACACTGTTGGCCGGTGCCTGCTGGAATGTTGCCTTGCACATCCGTCTGATCTCTCTGCTATTTTCTTTCTTTTCCTATTTTTCCAGGGTTCTAACCCGTTCATCTAGCCCCATGATGGCTGTGGACATAGAATACAGGTACAACTGCATGGCCCCGTCCTTGCGCCGGGAGAGGTTTGCCTTCAAGATCTCGCCAAAGCCAAGCAAACCGCTGAGGCCTTGCATTCAGCTGGGCAGCAAGAATGAAGCCAGTGGAATGGTGGCCCCAGCCATCCCGGAGAAAAAGGTGAAAAAGCGGGTGTCCTTTGCAGACAACCAAGGGCTGGCCCTGACAATGGTCAAAGTGTTCTCAGAATTCGATGACCCGTTAGATATCCCATTTAACATCACCGAGCTCCTAGACAACATCGTGAGCTTGACGACAGCAGAGAGCGAGAGCTTTGTTCTGGATTTTTCCCAGCCCTCTGCAGATTACTTAGACTTTAGAAACCGACTTCAGGCTGACCACGTCTGCCTTGAGAACTGTGTGCTGAAGGACAAAGCCATCTCGGGCACCGTGAAGGTTCAGAACCTTGCCTTTGAGAAGAGTGTGAAAATCAGGATGACGTTTGACACTTGGAAAAGCTTCACAGACTTCCCTTGTCAGTATGTGAAGGACACTTATGCCAGTTCAGACAGGGACACATTCTCCTTCGACATCAGCTTGCCCGAGAAGATTCAGTCTTATGAGAGAATGGAGTTCGCCGTGTGCTACGAGTGCAGTGGGCAGACCTACTGGGACAGCAATGGGGGCAAAAACTATAGGATCATCCGGGCAGAGTTAAAATCCACTCAGGGCACGGGTGAGCCATGCAATGGCCCGGATTTGGGGATATCTTTTGACCAGTTTGGAAGCCCTCGGTGTTCCTACGGTCTGTTTCCAGAGTGGCCTAGTTACTTAGGATATGAAAAGCTGGGGCCTTATTACTAGGGATTGCAGGTGACAAAGTGTGGCAGAGCTGCTCCTGACCAGCCCAGCTCCACTCACCAAGGAATGGAGGCGGACCCAAAGAAAAAGCAGCGCGGAACTGCCATAGGCACAGTTTTGGAAAAGAAAGGATCCTACTCACTTTTTCCTTAAAGCAGCAAACCCAGCCAGGTTCAGATCACAGAACCGGTTTCTCAGTCAGAGCAGAGGTGGGGTATGCTGGCCGGCTTTGGCACCGTGGCAGCCACCAGAGTGTGAGCAGGAGAGAGTCTGGATGGGACCCAAGCCTGCGGCAGTGCCGGCCAGGCTGGAGGGGCCTCGCCTCTCCTCTCCAGTCGGATGTGCAGTGCCAGTCACCCCAAAGTTTCCGAGCCCCAGGCACCTCCAGGCAGACCCTCCCCATTCATCTTTGAGTGTTTCCAGCAGCTGGGCTGGCCCGGCATGTGGCTGATGTGCTGCCTCCGCATGAGGTCACATTTTATCCATGTGCTGTGACACGCCGACCCGATGCTACACGTTGCTGATGCAGCCGCAGAAAAGGGACAGGATCTGCTTCTTTTTAATTTTTATTTTTGAAAGTTCTCTCTATTTTTTTTTTTTCATTTATATTCTCCCACGGTCCGTCCGGCGTTCAGGAAAAGATAATAAACACAAATTGTAACTGACACAGGCATTTCCTCTCATCCCCTCCTGACCCACTCGTGCCAACAGCGTGCCACACACCCGTTATCAAAAGCCACTGTCTCCTACGTGGTGTCACAGATTGCAGGGTTCTGACCAGGTGAGACAGTCACGAGGGGGACACTTAGCTTTTCCTCTCGGCTTTCGGAGAAGCTTTCTAAGTGCTCACTTTTACCCCGAGTCACAGAAGCCTCAGTTACCAACTTGAACCTGCTTGGCTGGTTGACAAGTGTCTCCTTCTTTACAAGAGAATATTTGATCTCTTTTTCCTGGAGAGTCATCTTTTATGCTGCGTTTAGGACATTTGATTTGTAGATCCAATATAGCCTCAAAGCCTTCGGACAATGTTTGGTTTTATTTTGACTGGGATTTACAACATCCAGAACATCTTACTAGTGCCCAGGAACATTGATTTGGGGGTTCTTTTATTTATGATATGTGAGTATGGGAAGGGATGGATGAGCAAAACCTCACCGGGTTCCTGTATGTTATTTTAAATGTTTGCCAACTCTGAAATCTCAGAGATTACTTGTTCTTAACCATATTGGACTAGTGTCTGTTGGTGAATGCTGTTATCATAAAAGAGACTCTTGGGACGTTCATTTTCGGATGGATCCCCCAAACCTGTGATTTTCCTTGAGCAAGAATGGTTTTTACGTAGGTGTATTTTAAAAATATATTTACATATATATTTGTAGAAAGTTGGGGGTTTTTTTCTGTTTGTTTATTTGGGGTGTTTGGTTAAATAACTTTCCTTTTCCTCTGTGCCTTATCTTACTAAAGTGAGAATTCTGCTAAAACAAGCAGAAAGAGGAGTGTACAATTGCCTAGATTTGGAGGCACAGCTACTGGGCTTTGCAAGGAATGAGTCTTGTGCTTGATTTTCCTAGATGAATTGAAAAACACCTGGGGTGTGGCTTTGTACACCACTGTCGGGCAAGGATGGAGTGCCTTGGCTCCTTGAGTTTTGTTGTGGGTTTAGGTTTTTTTCAGATTTTGAACTTTAACATGTTTTGACCTTTTAAAAAATACGCCTCAGTGGCATTCGATGGGATCCTTGTTCCTAAAACGGGCTGTTTCTGGTCTGCGGTCTAGTGCTTAGTTTTTTGTGTCTCTTCCAGGTGGGTGGCACTCTGAAATTACATGATAATATAATTTGGGGAGAAATCACATTTGTGTCTTATGCTGAAATTGGGCAGAACTTTGCTTATCTAAGCATACCACCTATCAAGCATGGAGCTAGTACTTTAAATGTTACGAATTTGGTAATCAGAACTATTCATAGCATAAATCTCACTAAAATCGAAGCACCATTGATCTCACGCAAGTCATGAATTTTATTTTGTGTTCAGAAGTGCCCCCTTCCAATGCAGGAAACGTACAAAGTGCCCTGTCATCTCCATGTTACCAGACTAAGGATCATTCTGTGTTCATGTTTAAAAAGGGCTCAAGCGACTCTAGAATAAAGTCTGTTTAGTTGTCTCTAATAATGATCTTAATACATTCCCATGTCAAGATTTGAAATATGGTAATTCACTGATAAGAATCTCTTCTAAAACGACCATAACCCCCACCCCACCCCATCCTTCTTTGTCTTAGCTCACTCCAGCTTTATTCCTGGGGGCACTGGCTGCCCGCCCCCCGGCCAGCACACCTGGGATGCTCACCCCACCACACAGTTCAGAGGCAAGTCCTCACCTGCTTGCAAAGACCCTTCTTCTCCAATAAAAGAATCTGCTTGCCTGACCGCCTCCATCAGGGCTGTCATTTAATGAGGGGGGAGGATCTGAAGAACACTGTCTGCTATCTGGCCTTTGTTTACTGACTCAGCCCCTCCCCGCCTCTGCTCTGACACAGTCTTTCTCTTTGGGCCCAGTTCCACCCCAGGGTGTTCTCACAAGGCCCAGGAACTGCTCTGATGGACTGTCTCATTCGTTCCCGGTAGATGGGCCTGCACACTTCACAGGGTGACAGCTTTCTTAGTGGGAGACTTCGCACTGCAGCCTGACTTGTATGTTTGCCTTCAGACAGCCCATGGTTATGGTGACAAATGGCTCCCCAGTGCCAGTGTCCTTCCCATGTTGCCCTAGAGGACCAGCCACCTGTCACAGGTGCAGTTGTCCAGGAATGAGGAAACAACTTCATTTTTGTTTCCTATTTATTCCTCCAAATGCCCCGGGGAGCATTTGACAGTTGGGTGCAATAAATAAGCTGGAATGTATAAAGATAGGTACTAAATAAGCTTTCAGTACTTCTTAAAAGATATGAAGCATTTGAGTGTTTTTAATTTTTTTTTTTAAAAACCAAAAACTCTTGTTATAGGGAGCTGGTGAGAAGTAATAGAGCTAAGTGGTTCTCCAGAAATTACAATTTAAGAGTCTCTATAAGGTTTAATTTTAATGGTGGTAAAACACACACACATATATATATATATACATTTTTTTTTTTTTGAGACAAACTCACTCTGTTGTCCAAGCTACAGTGCCATGGCATCATATCTCATGGCCACCTCGAACCCTTGGGCTCAAGTGATCCTCCTGCCTCAGCCTCAAAAGTAGCTGGGACTACAGGCACCTGCCACAACACTCAGCTAACTTTTCTTTTTAGTAGAGACAGTGTATCACTCTTGCTAGGTTGGTCTCAAACTCCTGAGCTCAAGACATCCTCCTGCCCCCACCTCCCAAAGTGCTAAGATTACAAGTGTGAGCCACCATGCCAGGCCCACGTGATACATTTTTTTAAAATTGTACATTTTGAACAGTTAGAAGAATTCTCTATGGCTTTGGGCTTTGCATATCATTTGCTTTTTAAAAACAAGCATGAGTTGTAGTCACACGGACCTTAAATGGGCTATATCTGCTTATAAACCAAAAAAGTGTGTGTTTGTTCTTGAGACAGAGTCTCACTCAGTTGCCCTGGGGTTGAGTGCTGCGGTGCTAGAGCTCACAGCAACCTCAAACACTTGGGCTCAAGTGATCCTCTTGTCTCAGCCTCCCCAGTAGCTGGAATTATAGGTACCCACCACAACACCCAGCTATTTTTAGAGACGAGGTCTCGCTCTTACTCAGGCTGGTCTTGAACTCCTGAGCTCAGACAATCTATCCGCTGCAGCGTCCCAGAGTGCTAGGATTATGGGTGTGAGCCACCGCACCCAGCCTGTTCATTTGTTTAGAAGTGTCCATTTTCTGGGTCTTCCCTCTCAGGGGACAGAGAATGAAAACCTTGGTTGTCTTTTCATTTGTTTCCGCTTAAAATTCCCCAACTAGATGTAGGCCTGGTGGCTCTTCTTGCTGGGAGGGTCCAGTCACTGAAATTAAAGGTAAGAAGTCGCATGGCTAATGGGCTCTTCCAAGGTTACCCAGAGACATTTTGGCAGTGTATCTGAATGTCCTGCAACAGGATGACACATCTGAGGTTTGGAAGGACAACTGTTCTGGAAGTTTTTCCTTGTTGAGGGTGGAAAGCCTTGCAGCCCACATGGTAAAGCTGTGAACCTCTTCACGGTCGGTTCCTGCAGACTGCTGGGCCTGTGAGGACAGCAAGAACGCAGCTGTGACCTTTCCCTTTTACTTCAATGTGAATGTAGAACCGAGGACTCATCTTCACTGTGTGCCTAAAAGTGCCTTGTCAAGAAATTTCTGCATGTTTTAAAAAAGAAATATTTTTGTACACAAAGTTCAAGGGGAAATGCACTTTAAAAATCACAAGAGTGGCTGTGTGTGGTAGAAGAGAGTGGTTGGTTTGTATCTCGAAAGCAAAACTGTAATAAAAGTAGTCAAAACCGAAACTGTCTGTCTATTCTTAGAACCAGAGGAAGGGGAGAAATATTTAAAATCGGTCTGTTTCCACATATAGATCTTAAGTTTCTAAAGGGATAGAGCACAGTCAGTGGCTGAATTACAGGTGTCAGGCACAGAAGATGTCTCGGCGGTGAAGGCTGGTCGTAGCTGAGTAGATAAGTGCTGGGGAAGGGCTGCAGGGACCACTGTTCTGGGCCCATTTTGAGTAACCTCAGGTCATGTCTGGCTCTTCTTACCCTCCCTTGCTCTGGAAATGTAGTACAGACAGATGCATTCAAATGAAAGGAAAAAACTGTAGGTGGCTATAGTTTAACTGATCAGACAAACTCCGTATGCAGCGAAATGAACCAGCTCCTGGTGGGATGGACAGTGGACATTCTCCTAAGTAAGATTTCCAGAGCTGTTTTATCTCAAAGTTCAAAAAAGAAATGTAGGGGCGGCATGCCTGTGGCTCAAAGGAGCAGGGCGCCGGCCCCAGATGCCGGAGGTGGTGGGTTCGAGCCCAGCCCCATCCAAAAAACTTCAGGAAAAAAAAAAAAATGCAGGGAAAGGGGCGGAGTCACCAGATGTTCCTTGTCAGCAACCCCGCCCCCTGCCCCAGGGAAGTTGGTGGCGGCTCTTCAGTAGAAAGGCAGGGTATACTGAAGTTTAGCAGCTAGAGCCTGGATGCAAAGAGTGAACCCCCTGAAGAATTTCTCGAAATGTTTAAACACGGCCCACCATTTGCCCTCAAGAAGTGGGAAGGGAGAGATCAGTTAACACCGGTGTTCACGAATGTCTAGTGGAGATTTAATGTGGTCTTTGTAATCATTGCCTAATTGTAAGTTGTGAGACAGATCTCGGGGATGTAGGGAGTAAAGAAAAAAAAGAGAGAGAGAGAAATCTCGTTTCTAGAGCAGCGTCCCCAAACAGTAAATATCCAGCTGTGAATAATAATTCAGCTGAACATTTACTGCTCATCTGCCACAAGGCAGAGCCAGGTGACCTTTCAACTCAACCCCTACAGGGGATGTTCACTCCTGCGGGAAGCATGGAGAGCTACCAGATGGGGCTAGAAGTCAGGGGGTCCAGAATCAGTTCCTAGTCCAACACTAAACATTTTAGGCTTCCCATCCCCTGCCAGTGGCTCTACTGAAGGGGCCCTGAGTCCGCTCAGCAGGACTAAGGCAACTAGGGGCTCTCGTAGTACCCGGAATACTTTTGAGAGTCGGTCGACCAACAGGTTCACCTGTAAAAGGCTTCAAAATATAAACTCTTGCAAGAAGCACCATGTGTGTTATTTGCGTCCTTCCTAAGAATACAGGAATGAACAGCAGTGAATAGCATTCCAGACAGTCACTCGGATCCATCACATCATCTGTGGTCAGCCTGGGAGGGATGTCAGCTCTCTTGTTAGAAAGAGATGAAGGGCCTGAGGGCATTTCCTCAAGTCCCCTGGCCCATCCGTGACTGTGGCAGGAGGAGAAAGCAGGATTTTGTTTTTCTTTTTTTGCAAAAGCTGTTCCCCTGAAAAAAGTCAACTTCACGGAACTGAGATGCCAAAATGGTGATTCTGGACAGTCAGCCCTCATGCTGGAGAGGTGCGTTCCCCTGGAGAGGGGTGAAAGTAGTCGTCTTTACACAGCAGAAGGCATTTCCATCCCCGGAGCTTCCTCAGCACAGTCAAGGACCACAGAGCATGCGGGAGCATTAAGGTCAAATGAAATGAGGTCGGGGTCTGAGAACCTGATTGGACTCAGGATGCTTTGGTGGAAGGAAACCCCTAGGGGCCTGTAACTGTGGAGATGTGTCAGGCGAGGCAGGATTTGTGGCCTCGGCGTTCCCTGTCACCAGAATAGAAATCCTGGTAACCCTCATTCCTCTTCCTTCTTGTCACCAGCCCTTGGAGGAGCAGACAAGGGAATCTCGTCACATGCCTTGTGATGTCCACATGGGGCTCTCTGGTGACATGCTCAAGTTGACCTTCATTCCACAAACATCATGTGTCTCCCCAGCCTCAGGCCTGGGGCTGGCCTTGGATTTGTCGAAGGTAGAATGAGGATACACAACAGTCTGCTTTCTGTGGAGCCAAAGGCATCAGTAGTGGTTCATAGACCCCAGCCCTGTACCCAAAGCTACAAGATCAGCGGGCACCTGTGGTCTCTGTCATGTATTCTTTGTTTTCATTTTAAAACCTTTTAGAAATGTAAAAATCATTCTTAGCTCATGAGCTAAGAAACAAGACAGGAGCTGACTCTGTCCTGCAGGCAGAGTTTGCCAACCCCAGTGAAGGGTTACAGTGTGTACCAGGCACACCTTGGGTAAACCCGACTTCGTGGACAGACTCCGCCCAGCCCTGTGGGATTTTCACAGACCTTCAGAGAGCTCAGAAATCCCAGGTCGCTTTTGCACGTCGATCTGCTCTGGCTGGATAGTGCTTTTACTTGGGTGGGTTATGGCAGAGTGGTGATATAGTCTGAGGTTTAGATGTATTTGTATTGGTTGAGTTCTCTTTCCTAATTGTAGTGTGGATAGGCCAAAAGCCCTTTGGAAATTTCAGTCTACTCACTCCTAAGAACAGCTTATTTAGGAAGAAAGGTGTATTAACAGCTAGGGCTTACTGCCTACTACAGCCCCAGCCCCCACCCCCACCCCGCTGCCCAGCAGAGCCCCCCCAGGGAGCTGCTCATTATGGGCTGAGGCACTGAGGCAAATCTAGCAGAATTCCAGACCCAAGCCCCCAGAAAGTACCATCAACATACCCCTGGCAGCTACAGGATGTCAGCTCATCTTTCTCTGGCCCATCAAATTCAAGAGGCCTTGAGCAGGCTCAGTGCCCATAGCACAGCGGTTACGGCATCAGCCACATACATCAAGGTGGGCAGGTTCAAACCTGGCCCAGCTCAGCTAAACAACAATGACAACTGCAATAAAAAAAAATAGCCAGGCATTGTGGCGGGCGCCTGTAATCCCAGCTACTTGGGAGGCTGAGACAAGAGAATCACTTAAGCCCAAGAGTTTGAGGTTGCTGTGAGCTGTGACGCCACAGCACTCTACCGAGAGCAACATGGAAAAAAAAAAGAGGCCTTGAGCACAACAGAGATGAGGAGGGGGAAACCCATCTCTAAAGTGTAGTCTTTGGGCCCTTCCTGGGGGCACCTTGTGGGGCAGACACACACACATGCTCTTCCTTTGAAGTCGTCATCTCTCCTGCTGGTATTTACCAGCCCCCAGTGTGAAGGCAGGTCCTAGTGCCTGATGTGAGTGCTGAGGGGACTTGGAAAGGTTTTAGGAAGCTTCGACACATCAAAGGAGAACTCTTTTTTTTTTTTTGCAGTTTTTGGCTGGGGCTGGGTTTGAACCCGCCACCTCTGGCATTTGGGGCTGGCGCCCTACTCCTTTGAGCCACAGGCGCTGCCCCCAAAGGGGAACTCTTCACCACAAAAGAGTGGGGAGTCTGCCAGCGCTCACCCCTCTTTGAGGGTGGCAACCCACGTGGCTAGCAATGGCAAGAAAGAGGAGTTGGTCAGTACTTCTGGGGCTCCTTTCCACAGCCCCTCACTATTGCCTTTGGGTGGATGTGTCCATCCTGCTGGAACATAGAATTAGCCAGGTGAAATCTCACTGATTTTATGATTCTCACCTCGTTTTATTAGAAATTATTTATTATTAATTATTAATAATTATTTTGTTATTTATTAGAAATTGTTATTATTTGCTGTTAGTCAATGATTTATTGAACCAAACATTGAAATAGCTGCCCCAAACATTTTTCATACATTCTTTCCTAGCAACTGCTTTGCACCTTTGCTGGTGCAATAAGCATTTCTTCATTCGAATTCTTCTCAGGTTTTTCTCGTCAATTGATCAATCCCTTCACCACCTAAGACCTTCCCACTTTACATTACTCAGACATTATATTAAACACACACACTGAAACTGTGAAAAGAAAGTCATACACACACAAAATAATCTTCTCTGCAAAAATTCCTCTCACCAGGATTCGTTTTTTTCTGCTTTGCAATGGCTTGGTCTTACTCCAGAGCTTGTGTAGATAGGACGCCCTCTGCCCCCACTGGGCAAAGAGCAACACTCTGCTGGCAGTGACAGGAGCAGGAGAGAAAGAGGGACTCGAGATACTTCTCATACCCCCTCTCAGTCTCTCTGCCATCCTCCCAGGCCTGGGTCGCCCACTGTAACCTCAGCCCCGTGGCAGCAAACTCAAGACAGGCGCCACCAGTGCTTTGCCAGCTTTGGTCAAGCAGTGGAATCTGTTCTTCAGCCAAATCCCATGTGAACTCAACATGCAAAATTAAATAGGAAAAAAGGCTTCCCAGGGTGGCCAGTGGGGGAATTAGGGAACCCCCGCTCATTTCCCCTTCAGATGCCTAAGGCGCTTCACCCCTGAGGCTCCAGAAGAATTGGTGTGAACCCTTCCTTGGATCAGAGTAGTTACACTGTTACTCTGCCCTGGCTTCCCACACTAGTGGATCTAGTAGAAGGAAAAGATAAAAGAAGCTAACAAACAAAGCCTTACAGCAGGGTAACACAACAGTTAAACCCTAACATTATGAACAAGGACTCTGGTTGTGTTTTCTTATGTCATCAAGGATAACGATCATCTCCTTTCACAAAAGATCTGGTTGTCCACACAGAACCATGTTTGAGCTGTCTGTTGTCAAACGTATGTGACTTACATTTAAACTGCTGGACAATGCAACTTCCACACCGCACTAATAATAATCCATAAACAGAATCATTGAGTGTCTCTGTGGCCAAGGCTATGACTGGGACCAAGTACTCTATGGGAATATAGAAACAAAAAGACATGTCACTCTCACCAAGCTATTTAAAATCCTCCTACGGTTATTTTAGTCTTTTCCCAAATTATACATTTTTCACTTCATTTACTTACATCAACCTAAGCCCAGAGAGTCCTCATGTTTCTTTTTTTTAAACCTGTTATTTTGAGATACCCGTAGTTCACATGCAGTTGTAAGAAATAATGCAGAAAGATTCCATGTACCTTAGATTCAGTTTTCCTCTAGGGTAATATCTGGCAAAACTAGAATACAATGTCACAAGCAAGATGCGGACATGAGTCCCATCAGGCTATATAGAACATTCCCACCACGGATTGCTCATGTCCTATACAGCCACACACTCCTCCCCTCCCCTCTACTCAACCCCTACCCCACTCCCACCATGATCCTTGTCCCCTGGCAACCACTTATCTTTCCTCCATTTCTATAATTTTGTCATTCTAAGAATGTCACATAAATGGAATCGGAGACAGTAGAACCTCCATAGTTGACCACCTTTCTACACTGACCACCTCCTTAAGTTGACCTAATTCTCATAGACCGGACATGCACCACACGTACGTATCAGACAGTAGGCCTGCTTCCTTATGTGGACCACTTCCGTATGTTGACCAGTTTATTACGGTCCCTTGGGTGGTCATCTTACAGAGCTTCTACTATGTAGTAGAGAGCTCTTAAGTTATTTCTAGTTTGGAGCTATTGTAAACAAAGCTTTTACAAATATTTGTGCACAAGTTTTTATGCAAATATAAATTTTCACTTCTCTGAGATAAACATCAAAGAGTGAAATAGCTGGAACATATCACAGTCCCATGGGTAATTTTATAAGAAACCACCAAATCATTTTTCAGAGTGGCTGTACCATTCATTGTACAATGCACCAGCTATGTATCCAATTTCTCTGCATCTTCATCAGCTTTTGGTGTTGTCAGTATGTGTTTTTTTAGAGATAGGATCTCACTATGTTGTCCAGGCTAGACTCCTAGGCTCAGTGATCCTCCTGCCTCAGCCTCCTTAGTAGCTGGGACTATAGGCACATGCCACTGCATCAGACTGTTATTGTCACTGTTTTAGTTTAGTAAATCTGAAATGTGTACAGTGATATCTAATTGTGGTTTTAATTTGCTTTACTCTGATAGTTAATTATGTTAAACATTTTCTCTTCTTTTTTTTTTTATTGTTTGGGATTCACTGAGGGTACAAAGACTTAGATTCTACTGATTGCATTTGTTAGATAAAGTCCCTCTTACAATTGTGCCTGTCCCATTTGGGGGTTCTTATTTGCCATCTTTTAATCTTTTTTGGTGAAATCTATGTTTGTCTTCTGCCCATTTCTAGCTGGATTGGGGTTTTTGTTGAGTTTTGAGAGTTCTTTACATATTCTAGGTACTAGAATTCTTTGTCAGACGCGTTGTTTGAAAATACTTCTCTCAGTCTCCAGCTCGCCTTTTCATCCTTTTCACATGGACTTTCGCAGAGCAAAGTTTTTACTTTTTATTAATTTTTCCCTTTGTGGGAGCATGCTTCTGATGGCAAGTATAAGACCTCTTTGCCTAAGCCCAGATCCCAAAGATTTTGTCCTATGTTTTTCTTTAAATTTTTATAGTTTTATGTTTTAAATTTAAATATGTGATTTGTTTTGAATTAGGTGGGGATTTATTCTTTTTGCCTACGGATGTCCACTTGCTTCAGCGCCATTTGTTCAAAAGGCCATCCTTCATCCACTGAGTTCCTTTTGCATCTTTGCTAATACGGTTGTCTATATTTATATGGGCTTATTCATGGGTTCCCTGTTCTGTTTCATTGGCATACATGTCTGTCCCTGCACAGCATGACACTGTCTTGATTTTTTTTTTTTTTTTTT